GAGGCACCAAACATCTGAGCGGTTCCCCAAACACCTCCTCGGCACACCATTGGTTGAAGACGGACCGGTCGGGGTCGGTGGATGGGATGGTGAGAAGGGGAGAAATTTGCAAATTTTTGACCAGGAGCTTTAGTTCTAGCCGGCTTTTGCTGCAACCACTAATTCCTCTTTTAAAAACCTATCACTTCAACCAAGTGGAGTCAAGGTCTTTCTTCCTAACGACCTACTTTTGGCAAGCCTAACAACATCATCCTGGGCAAAGGAAGGAGGCCAGGAACTTCCTGACATGATTGGGATACCTACTAGAAACACTCACGTCAAAGGACTCTTCCACCACATTTTTGTTGCGATTTGGCGAGATCTGGCCATGAATGGTGTGGATGGGTTTTAATTGTTTTTTTTTATTGAAAAGTTTTACAAACAAGAATTTTTTTTCCAAATATTTCCCCTCCCCCGCTCCTTTCCCTCCCCCCTCTACCCCCCCCGGACTTCCCAGAACAAAATACAGGTAAAACAATTAACAGTCATATGCTAAGCTAAGCTAACTAACTACAGATTCCTATCCCCCCCTCGACACTTTAACTCACCTTTTACTTAACTAAATATACATACTCTTAACTTTTCCATTCATTCATAAGCTATTTGATACTTTTTAGTCCGATATTTGTTTTGAATATAATCAATCCATCTTCTCCATTCCAATATATATTTTTCTTGTGAGTGATCTTTCAAATATGCTGAAATTTTCGCCATTTCTGCCAAATTTGCCACTTTTAATGTCCACTCTTCAATAGTAGGCAATTCTTCCTTCTTCCAGTATTGCGCCACCAAAAGTCTAGCTGCAGTTATTAAATTTAAAATCCATTTAGTCTCTATAACCGTACAATTATACCCAAGAAAAACAATTGTGGGGTAAACTTTATCTTCTTTTTAAGAATATTTTGGATAATCCACCATATTTTAATCCAAAATGCTTTAACTTTTTTACAAGTCCACCATATATGATAATCACAATCACATCTCCAACACTTAGATTGCAAATTCGGATACATACAAGCCAACTTTTTAGGATCTAAATGCCATCTGTAAAACATTATATAAAAATTTTCTCTTAAATTTTGTGCTTGCATAAATTTTACATTTGTTTCTATTTCTTGCATAAGTATCTTGGTTACCCAAACCATGTCTATTCTGGACCAGGACTTATGGGGGTTAGAATAATATGTGAATTTCTTTACCTCGGAATTATAAAATCTGCAACCATCTATTAAATTCACTTCTTGTACTAAATCCATAAAAGTTCTAGGCAGTACATTTTTCTTTTTTTTATTACTCTGATCACTGCTATAATCCTTTTTACATCTACAATTGCGTTGAAATCGCCGATCAAACATATATTCCCTATTTTTTCTTCTATTATCTTTTGATGTACTTTTTTTTGTAAAATTCTAATTGTCCACTGTTCGGCGCATAGATAACCACCAATAACATACTTTTATATTTAAATTTTACTTCTATCATCAATATTCTTCCTACTGAATCTGCATATCTCAATTTACACTCTATTCCTTCTTTAATGTACACCACTATTCCTCTTTTCTTTTCTTCCGCTAGTGTTACAAATGATTCCCCTAATTTTTTACGTAATAAGTATTTTTCATCTTGTTTTCTTATGTGTACCTCTTGAAGGCACACAATATCCATTTTTTGTTTTATCACTTTTCTAAAAATTTGATGTCGTTTAGCCAGAGAATTGAGAGCATTTACATTTAATGATAAGATTTTAAAATTTTGTTCCATTCCTTTGTGGTTCTACTATGCGATATTTCCTATTACTTCCTGTCCTTTCTCTTAGCTCTTCTTTTCACTCCTTCTTCCTCTTGAGGTTCCCCTTCTTCCTCTTTATCTCCTTCCTCTAGTAGTTTTTCTCGCTCTTCCTGTTTTTGTGTCCTTTAAGTCCTCCGTTCCGGTTCCTCCCTGTTACTATTTGCTCCTTCTATGCCCATCATTTGGTCATGCAGGTTCTGTGCTCTGTGCTGTGAATCCACTTTTATTTTTTTCCCTTGCCACGACACCACCATTCCTTCCGGTATTATCCATCTAAATGGTATATGCCGTTTATTTAATAATGTGGCTAGGAACCAATATTCTTTTCTTAGTTCTCTTATTCTCTTAGGTACTTGCTTTACCGTAATTATTTCTTTGCCTTTATAAAACATGGGTTCATTTTTTGTCATTTTATAAACAATGTCTCTTATTTGGAGGTGGGGGTGGGGGTGGGGATACAGTACAGCCTCAATTAATAGGACTAAAAACCCAATGTCAGACCAAGCTATAATAATAATGCAAATCCAGAGCATGTAAATAAAAATATCAATCTCTGCTATAATTTTCTGTTGATGTAATTTTTTGTTGCAGTGAATGAAACAATACTGATTTGGTGCGCAGGACATCTGCCAGGACCCCTCTGAAGGCTTCTCAGGGGGAGATGAAGCCTGGCCTGAAAGAGCCCCCTCCCTTGCCAAGGAGGCCCGAGAGGGAAAGGGCTCCGGGAGAAAACGCTCACCAGACGCCGTCCTTCCCTCATATCCAGGTATAGATGCTACAGGGCTGGGCTACCTATGGAACCAGCCTTGTCCTATCACATCAGCCCACCCCACACAATCAATCCATCCATCCATCCATCAATCAATCCATCAGGACAGAGCCAGAAGGGAAAGGTGTGACGAATTTGCCAAGGCTCTGGGGGAAAAGTTTACCCTGAAGTCCTTGGGGCGGGTTGACAGGTACCTGGGTGTACATATCTTGGCCACTAAAAAGGGATTTGCATTATCCCCCCCCAAAAAAATTGAGGAGTTGTTGGCCAAATGCAAAATGGCGGAGTCTAACTCAACGCATAGCCCCATGCAAAGTGACTACTATGGCCATAATGACAAGGACAGCCCTGAGTTCACAGATAATAAATTTTATAGATCTGTGATTGGCTCCTTGCTATACATTAGCAATTGGAGCAGGCCTGACATAGCTTTAGCTGTAAATCTATTGTCCAGGCATGTGGAAAACCCAAAGGAATTCCACTGGAATGCTGTCAAGAGGGTACTTAGGTACCTCAGGGGCACGGCCGATGCCCTCTTTATGCTGGAACCAGAGAAGGGGAAGCCGGCCCAGCTCTCCGCTTACTCGGACGCAGACTGGGCTGGTGACACCAAGAGTAGACGGAGCACCTCTGGTTTCCTCATACTGCTAAATGGCTGTCCTATCCATTGGCATGTTAGGCAGCAAAAATTTGATTCTTGCTCCACGGCCGAGGCAGAATATGCCAGCCTATCGGGCACAACAAACGACTTGATTTGGTTCAATGCTCTGGTAACGAGCATCTGGGCACCTCCTACTCTGCCCATCCAAATTCAAGAAGATAACACGGCCGCAATTGGAATCTCGGGGGCGTACACGGTGGGCTCTAGGTCACGCCACATAGACATCCGCTACAAGAATGTCAGGTAGCTTGCCAGAATGGGGTTTGTACACATCAAACATTGTAATACAACCGACCAGTTAGCTGATCTGTTCACAAAACCTGTGCCCATTGACCGACACAACCTTCTGTGTAAGCGTTTGTGTTTGCTCCTGTAAACGATGCATCTGCATGTCTATGACGCCTGCTCACCCCCTCACTCATACTCACTGGCACCTGTCATTGGCTGGCAAGAAGGGGAATTGTTAGGTGTTTTGTGCCAGCCATGGCAGTTTCTTAAAAGGCCACCAGATGGGAGCAAAGAGGCACCTTTGATCCCACTGGTGGGCCAAAGGGCTCCGGCCCCTGCAGCCCCATTGGGGAGAGTTAATGGCCCTCCGGCCCCCTCACACTTTGGTAAGGGAGAGGCCAGGGCCCTCTAAGAATCCCTGCACAGGGGCTGCTCTTTGGCTCTTGTTCTAACTTCCTACAGGACTGAACCATGGGCTCAATCCAGGCATGGATGCCTCCTTTTACTCTACTTTACTTCTAAATAAAGATTCAACGTGATTGCATCCTTGCGTGCTGCCTTTTCTTGAAGTGGCCTCAACGAACCATCGATCTTGTGAGATCCCTCACATCCCCATCAACTTTTGCTGGTCAGAAAGTCAGAAAAGGGGTCATGGGACCTCGGGACACTGCAACCGTCATAAGTACATGCCAGTTGCCAAGCCTCTTGAGCTGAATTGTGGCTGTACGTCTAGGTAGCCCAGCCCCAGAGACGAGGCAGGCCCCCAACCTCCTGACCTTCCCCAAGAGCATGAAGACTCAACTCTGCCAGCTGTCTGGGGGCCCAAGGGGGCCCTGCAAGCCATGGGGGGGGGTTTGGGGAAGAAGGAGCTTCCTCTCCTTTCAACTCTGCAATTGTCCCTTTTGCCTTTTTTAAAAAAACAAACCTGTTTGGCTTTTTTTAAAAAAAACTTTGCTTTCAACTGCAGCTTTTGTATCGTTGGAGAGTTTTACCAAAACTACTACAACACTTCAGCGATGATGGGCAGTGCAGAAACTGGACCCCCCCAAAAAATCATATATACAAGTAGTCCTCGATTTACGACCACAACTGAGCCCAACATTTTTGTTGCCAGTTGTTAAGTGAATCACTGCAATTCCTAAATTAGTAACATGGTTGTTAAGTGAATCCGGTTTCCCCCTTGGCTTTGCTTGTCAGAAGGCTGCAAAAGGGGATCACGTGACTCCTGGGACACGGCGACTGTCATAAATGTGAGTCACTTGCCAAAGGTCCAAATTCTGATCATATGACCGTGGAGATGCCAGAATGGTCATAAGTGTGAAAAATACTTTGTTCAGTGCTGTTGTAATTTGAACCAGCACTAAAAGAACGGTTGTAAGCCAAGGACTCCATAAGAATAGAATAGAATAGAATAGAATAGAATAGAATAGAATAGAATAGAAAGAATAGAATAGAATAGAATAGAATAGAATAGAATAGAATAGAATAGAATTAGAGATTGGAAGGAACCTTGGAGGTCTCCTAATCCAACCCCCTGCCCATGCAGGAAACCCTACACCAGTATATCATATCTCCTATATCTCATATCTCATAATAAGAAAAATTAAAAAACCAAGCTCGGTAGCAGACTTAGCCAATCAAAGAACAAAGTTGATCAGCCTTAATCTTGGTTAGGTTCTTTTGAGATCTAGCACGTTGAGGGACACCATCACACTGGGTCATTCCATAGTGACCCCTAGTTTTGCTCCCCATAATGTCGCTAATGTTTTTTGTGGTTTTTTGAGAAACTTTATTGAGATTTTTTACAAAAAAGAAAAAAAAACATAAGTGTACTGACATTTACAGTTAGTATCAGATGTGCAGTGTTTTAACTATATACATAAATAATACTTGGTGATATTTCAAATCACTTTTTACCGTTATTTAACACACCTTTAGGTCTTTCTTTCATTTTATCATGCATCCACTTGTACCACCTTTCCCACACAATATAATAAACTGACTTCTCATCATCGTTTAATTCATGAGTTAATTTAGTCATCTCTGCGCACTCCAATATTTTCCTAATTGTGAGCTCTTCTGGTGGTTGGGTTTTCTCTTTCCAGTACTGTGCGTATGCCAATCTGGCGGCTGTAATTATGTGGATCATTAAATGTATCTTTTCCTTTCCATATGGCTTCTTTACTATTCCCAGGAGAAATATCTCTGGTGTTAATTCAATATCTTCGCCAATTATTTCATATAACCATCTCCTGATCTTGTTCCAATATCCTTTCGCTTCCGGGCATGTCCACCACATGTGAAAGAAGGTGCCTTGACCGTGGCCACATTTCCAACAATTAGGATGTATATTAGGGTATATCTTTGCTAGTCTGGCCGGGGCTAAATACCATCTATGTAGCATTTTATAATGGTTTTCCTTGTATGTCGCCGCTGTAGTCAATTTAAGATTCCTATTCCATGCCTCCTCCCATTCCCCAAAATTTATATCACGCCCTATATTTTTCTCCCATGCATTTATTTGATTCTTTGTGATATCTTCGGACTTGTCATCACCTAATAAATAGTTGTATAGTTTGGCCAGAATCTTTTTATTTGTTCCCATCAGGACTTTATCCAATCCATTTGATCCAAGTTCTAAACCGTATTGTTCTTTGTCTTTGTGATATCTAGATTTTATTTGTGAATAGGTCCACCAATCTAAAGTTATTCCTTGCTCTCGTAAAGTATCATTTGATTTAAGATTCCCTCCTTCGTCTAAGATATCTTTGTATCTGCCCATTTTCTCCATCCCCCATCTATTGGGGTGGATCAGGGCCTCCATCGTTGAGAGCCAACTTGGAATTTTTTTGTAATATCTTTGCCTAATCGGGGTCCATGTTTGTATCAATGAGTCTCTAATTTTATGTCTATGGAAATATGTCTTCCTTTTCTTCTCTACATCCCAAATGTGGGCATGCCACCCTTTTTGCAAATCGTGGCCTTCTAGGGTAAGAATCCTCTCATTTTCCAGGGTGATCCAATCTCTTATCCAGACTAGCTTAGCTGCCCTGTAATATATTTCCCAATCGGGGAGTCCAAATCCACCTATATCTCTTTTGCCCCTTAAAATTTTAATAGAAAACCTCGGTTTTTTCCCCTCCCATATAAATTCTCTGATGATTTTGTCTAATTCTAAAAAAAACTTTTTCTCTAAATTTACCGGTATGTTTTGGAATAAAAATAGTATTCTGGGGAGAATATTCATCTTAATTGTGGCTATCTTGCCCAAAAGTGATCATCTTATTTTCTTCCATCTGTCAAGGTCTTGTTTCATCTTCCTAATTAGGGGAGTATAATTGTCGTCTTTTAAGGTCGAACATCTTGATGTAATCCAAATTCCTAGGTATTTAATTTTTTTGGCAACCTGTAGTCCTAATACTTGTTTTTCTGGCTCTCAGTTGTATTCTTAATCAATACTTTGGTTTTGGTTTTGTTCAATGTGAAGCCTGCCACCTCTCCATATTTACTTAATTCCTCTAGCACTTTTGGTCCTGATTCTATGGGGTCTTCAAGGATTAAGGCTACATCGTCTGCAAATGCTTGCGTCTTGTAAATTTCCTTCCTGATCTTCAGTCCTTTTATTTCCTCATTAATTCTAATTTTCCGTAAAAGAACTTCTAAGGCCAAAATAAACAATAATGGGGATAGGGGGCAACCTTGCCTTACTCCCTTACTAATTTGGAATGTTTTAGTCCTATGCTCAGTGGCAGACTTAGCCAATCAAAGAACAAAGTTGATCAGCCTTAATCTTGGTTAGGTTCTTTTGAGATCTAGCACATTGAGGGACACCATCACAGTGGGTCATTCCATAGTGACCCCTAGCTTTGCTCCCCATAATGTCGCTAATGTTATCAAGGGGGTTATCCAGGGGACCCTCCATATCCCATCCCTATTATCTTGGGGAGTAAGAGGCCCCTTGGGTCATGACACCAGCTGTCCCCCATGAGAACATAATGCGGTGATGTCACAGCCCCTGGGGCAGAGATATAAAGGCAGAAGGGATGAGAGGGGAGCTGTGGAGAGTTGAGGAGAGTAGAGGATAGTTGAGTTCAGTTGAGTTGTGTTGAGCAGAGTAGAGCAGAGCAGAGCGGAGGGGAGTGTTCTACTTTGTCAAATACCTCGCTGAAGCCTTTCAACTTTTATTTCTAGTCTGTCTTTCACAGTTACGTTGTTGGTAGGTTGGGCTATAGTTTCTTTTTGCATGCAAAGAACGAGTTAAGCAACTCTGCTTTCTCTCTGCTGCCTGTAATTTCCTTGCCGTCTTCTCTCTTTAGGGGACTTTTAGTTTGGTTGCTGTGCCAAACCAGACAGTTGTAGAGGTACAAAGGAGAGACTCCCAAATTCCTCTGTAGATCAGCAGCTCCTTGGGCAGTCTGAGCTTCTTGACCCAGGAAGAACATGTGATAAATAGAGATAGATAGATAGACAACTAGATAGATAGATAGATAGATAGATAGATAGATAGATAGATAGATAGATAGATAGATGATAGATGATAGATGATAGATGATAGATGATAGATGATAGATGATAGATGATAGATGATAGATAGATAGATAGATAGATAGATAGATAGATAGATGATAGATAGATAGATAGATAGATAGATAGATAGATAGATAGATAGATAGATAGATAGATAGGAGCACCAAGGACCCCTCCTTTCAACCTGGAGTTACAAAACTTCTCCTTTATTGACAGGATCTCCATCCAGTTCAAGAACTCCCTCTTCACGAGAGGATGGACCACATGCTAAAAAAGTTGCCCTTCTTGAAGAAGGAGGACAGCAAGGAGTCCCATCCACAAATTACGAATAATGACCCATGGCAGTGGAACAGTCACTTCTCTGGCTCCCACCCGTCCACTTCTTCGGCCACTCAAAGAACCACGCAGGTCTTGCCCCTTCTTGTAAAGGGTTCCCCAGCTCCAGTGGACATGAGCAAGAAGGTGCAGCCTCCAGCACTGGTGCTGCCAGAATTGGTGCGCAGGACCCCTCTGAGGGCTTCTCAGGGGGAAATGAAGCCTGGCCTCAAAGAGCCCCCTCCCTTGCCAAGGAGGCCCGAGAGGGAAAGGGCTCCGGGGAGAAAAAGCTCTCAAGACACCATCCTTCCCTCATATCCAGGTATAGATGCTACAGGGCTGGGCTACCTATGGAACCAGCCTTGTCCTATCACATCAGCCCACCCCACACAATCAATCCATCCATCCCTCCATCAATCAATCCATCAGGACAGAGCCAGAAGGGACCTTAGAGGTCTTCCTTCTCCAGAGACCAATTGCATTAAGCAATAAGTTTCTCTTCCTACCTTCTAGTGCTTTGGAAAATAAGTTGGCCCCCTCCTCTGTGTGCCAGCCCCTCAAATACTGGAAGACTGCTCTCATGTCACTAGTACACCCTTCCTTCCTTTTCCTAACTACCCAAATCCAAATCCTGCAATCGTCCTTCATCAGGTAGGGACGTTATGGTGCAGACTCCATCAGTCAAAGAGTTTCGACTGTGGGGCCTAGGAAGAGGGTCTTCTCTACTGCTGCCACTGTATTAGGGAACATCTTACCCTCAGAGGTGAGGAAAGACCCCTCCCTCTTAGCCTTTTTCAAAGGCTAGATCTAAATTATAAGATTACAACATCATGAAATTTCAAAGCAATAAAAAATTCCAATTCCATATATAAGATGGTTGTCTAAGGACAGGAAGATCAGGGCCTCGAGACTTATGACACGTTTGACCCCTCCCTCAGGCTCAGCCTGGTGATCCACTACGCACTCCTTGTCTCTCTCTGCTTTGAGAAGGCTTGTCCTGTCGAATTGCCCATCAATCTCTGTCTGTCTCTTCTTCTCAGAACTCTCTGACGAGTCTTTCAAAAATTTATGGGAGAGCAGGAAGCCATTAAAAGGCAGACCCGTCAAAGAAATCTTGGATCTCATGGACGAGAGAGAAATATTAGAGACCATCTTGGACCATCTTCGTCCTTTCCAGGTAAGCAGCTGGGTTTGTGTCGCGGTGGGCCCTGAGGTCCATCGTGGAGAGGGTCCAGAAGCCAGGGCTGCCTCGGTGGAGATCATTTATCCCAAAAGTAGACAAATGTAGTTATGGAGAATTTGCTGAACTAGGGGGTCCTTGCTGGAAGGATCATGGAACGACCATGGAATGATTGCCTCAACCATTTTGGACTCCACCTCAACATCAAGACAGGATACTTAGGGACTGTCACCACCCCTGGAATGCTTCAAATCAATGGAGAAAACCTAAAGAAGGTGGACATTTTTTGGTATCTGGGATCCCACCTCCAATGTCAATGGTGACATCAATGGCGAGGTGAGAGCAAAGGAGAATGCAGCCTGGATACGTTGGCGAGAACTCACCAGTGTGTTACTGGACAGACGAATGGCCACCCATCTTAAATCTAAGACCTACAAGACAACCATCCGCCCTGTTGCACTGTCTGGCACTGAATGCTGGGCAGCAACAACAGGGACCGGAAGCTCTCTGCATGCCACGGAAATGCGAAATGGTCCTGAGTGTGAGAAACAGTCCATTTTTTTCAGTTGTAAACTATCCTTTATAACTTCGAACAGTCAGTAAATAAATGTTCTGACCCAAACACGACAAACCCTCTGAAGTGAACTCAAAGATTCCTTTATGAGGAGAGCCAGCAGCCCCGACAAAAAGTTTCTCTCTCACCACAGGCTAACAAGTCCATCCGGCAGGGAGAAGAATCGTTGTCTGCCACATCTATTCATCTCCGCCCCCTGCCTTTTATCCCCAGAGCTAGGGAGGGGCTTCGCTAGCAGTGGTGGCTCGTCTGTCCCAAGGACCGGCCCATAGATTTCCACTGCTCTCCTCTCCTCTGCCTTCTGTGTATCCGCGCGTCAGGCACTGGACCCAGATGTTCCTCCTCTTCCTCATCCACCTCCAGACCTGCGGTCTGTTGACTCACCATCTGAGGGCTGACGGATGGCCCAGGCTCCTCCTCTGTCTCTCTCTCTGCCAGCCCCATTCCCTCTTCCCCCTCGGAGCTCTCAGGTTGCCTTGATGCTGGCCCTGACTCCCACGCCTCCTCCTCCTCCTCCTCCTCCTCCTCCTCCTCCTCCTCCTCCTCCTCCTCCTCCTCCTCCTCCTCCTCCTCCTCCTCCTCCTCCTCCTCCTCCTCCTCCTCCTCCTCTGATTCGGCTGCTGGAGGGCCACAACAATAAATGGTGATAAATCAAGTTCTCACAATTTGTGGCAGAGATTTTCCAACCGTTCATCTCAAAAGCTGCCTCTGCTCCAGCTGATACAATCCGGATGTTCCTTGTTACGTGCTTCGTGTCTGTCCCAGCTAGAAAAGTCAAATTACTTATAATATGCATCCGGACGCAGAAGGGAAACCAATCCTCCCCTTGGAAACACACAGAAAGCTGTTCCTTCCTCTGCTCCTTCACTTTCTCACAACTTCTTTTTTGTTGTTCTTGTTGTTGTTGGCAAAGCAGATTCCTTCAGACCACAAACTGCCCAGGAGGAAAACAAGCGCATTGCCGCCCATCGACCAGAAGCAAAGCACGTCCCAGGTCTTGTCTAAAGACAAGGTAAATATGCGGAGGTTTTACACTTTTAGGGCCGCAGTTATCTTAGATGCAACATCAGAAGAGGACAGCTTGCCATGGCCAACTCACCGTGGCTGCCCACGAGCCACAGCAGACTCACCGCGGGTTAATTCAACCATTCCGTTCTCTCCAATAATGTTAAAAATCATTTTAACATTTGTCGTTTATGTTTCATTTGTCCCTCCTTTGAGGCCTCCTTTCTTTGACGCTTCTGTTCCACCATTTCCTCGATATTAGACAGACAATGAATAATAGAACTACAGACTTGGAAGGGGGCCTTGGAGGTCTTCTAGTCCAACCCCCTACTGAAGGAGGAAACCCTTTCCCATTTCAGGCAAACGGTTGTCCAATCTCTTCTTAAAAGCTTCCAGTGATGCAACACCCACAACTTCTGGAGGCAAACTGTTCCACTGGTTAATTGTTCTCACTGTTTGGAAGTTTCTCCTTGGTTCTAGATTGGTTCTCTCCTTGATAAGTTTCCATCCATTGTTTCTTGTCTTGCCTTCGGGTGCTTTGGAGAATAGGCTGACCCCCTCCTCTTTTTGGCAACCCTTGAGGTATTGGAACCCTGCTATTAGTGTAACTCTTGTTCCCTGGTGAGTTGGCCACGGCAAGTAGGCCATGGCTAGTTGGCCATGGTTAGTTGGCCAAGCCAAGAGGGCCATGGCAAGTTGTCCCAATCCACCACGGAGAGCTAATGCATGTAAAAAGATGAAGCTGCCAGATCTCCACAGAAACCATAAAGGATCTCAGGACGGCCAAACAGAGAATCAGCAAAGGGCACCTATGGGGATGGGGGAGGGGGGTTAAAGTAGCTTTTCAAGAAGAAGAAGAAAGTCAAAATGGCAATTATTGACTTATTAGATTCGTATGCTGCCCATCTCCCCGATCAGGTCACCCAGGACCAGTTTCCGTGTGCTTGACCACACGGAGTCCTTTTCTGATCCTAATTTCTCCTATATTTCCTTTTCCTGGCCGTTTGGTGGAGCTCCCTAGGACTCACGGACTCTTTTTCCCACCTTCAGATTAGCCTCTACAAATATTATGGCGTTAAACTGCGAAACTCAACACAGAAGGACCTGGTGACGGAACAGCTCCAAAGCCTTCTAAGTTTTTCACTCCAGGAAGAAACAGACCGAGAGGTGAGTGGCAGTGGGATGCCTGCGGGGGCTGAGACCTCCATCTTTGTGGGGTCCTTGGGGCTCTCTGAGCTTGGATGTTTTCTTGCAGACGTTTAGTGACCCAACTAGGTCACCTCATCAGTGCCAGAAGAGAACAGGTTTTGCAGAATAGAGGTGAAGGGAGGAGGAGGAGGAGGAGGAGAATTGTGGGGTCCTTGGTGCTCTCTTAACTTGGTTGTTTTCCTGTAGATGTTTCATGACCCAGCTAGGTAACATCATCAGTGCTAGAAGAGAATGGGGGTTACAGAGAGGAGGAGGAGGAGGAGGACTGTGGGGTCCTTGGTGCTCTCTGTGCTTGGTTGTTTTGTTGCAGACATTTCATTACCCAGCTAGGTAATTTCATCAGTGCTAGAAGGGCCTGGGGTTTGCAGAGAGGAGGAGGAGCAGGAGGTGGAGAAGGGGAGGAGAAAGCGGAAGGTAAAGACAAAGGGTTAGGTGCAAATAAGAGCCTTGGTGGTGCAGCGGACTAAAATGCTGTTAAGTAGCACTTAGCTGCCAGCTGCCGGCAATTACTGTGAGTTCAAATCTCACCAGGCTCAAGGTTGACTCAACCTTCCATCCTTCCGAGGTAGGTAAAATGAGGACCCTGATTGTGGGGGCAATAAGCTGACTTTGTATTAAAAAGAACACCGCTTTGGGGGGGGGAAAGACCTACTAAGCAGGTCTATACAAAAGTATGAAGGCTATTGCTTAACGCATTGTAAGCCGCCCTGAGTCTCCGGAGAAGGGCGGCATATAAATCGAACCTATAAATCAATAAATGTCCTAATTCACAAACATCGCTTTGCCTAGGGAATCTCGGAATCCATTCGAATGGCATCCTTTTGCCACCTGCCTGAGATTCTGGTGGCCCTGGAGGAGGCTGGCCAGTTCAGGCAGACAAAAGGACCGTTTGCAGTAGAAGCCCCCATTGAGGTAAGACCAGGGATGGGGTTGCAAGGTCTGAAACTCAGTGCAGAAGGAGGCTGGGGGATTCTGGGAAGGAAAGTCCAATGTGCTTAGAAGGACTTAGGCTCCAGGCTGTCTGGTCTCCTCAGATTGGTCATAGATCTCGTAGATGTAGGTGGTGCTGAAATTCTCCATCTCCATCTCCTGGAGAACTATTTTATAAGGCTAGAGAAGATTAGGAGCTGCCCCAACAAACACCTCGAGTAGACCCAAAGGTGCTTTTTCCAAAGGCTTGGGCTTGGTTTTTTCCTGAAGACATTTCGCTTCTCATCCAAAAAGCTTCTTCTCTTTTGACCCAAGTCAGACCTGAAGAAGCTTCTGGGATGAGAAGCGAAACCTCTTCAAGGAAAAACAAAGTCCAGTTGCCTTTGAAAAAGCCCCTTTGGGGCAACCGTGACCTGGATGACTAAGAAGCTCCATCAGTTTCCATCCATTGCTTCTTGTCTTGTCTTCTGGTGCTTTGGGAAAGAGTTTGACCCCCTCGTCTTTGGACTGACAGGACTCACAGACTCTCTCCGAGAGATGGATTCGGACCACATTAATACTCTGCTATGGCCAGGCAGTCCTGGGAGCGCAAGTAGAGGACATGATGCCTTTCCTGGACAACATTGTCTCAGAAATACTCTATCAGTATTCCAGCATGAAAAAGGTAGGCAGGTTTCCACCCTCTACTTCTCTTAATGCTGAGTTTAATCACAAGAACAATTATAATCCGGAGTCCTTAGCTTGTTTGATTTCTTAAAGACATTTCATGACCCAACTAGCATGTTGTGGGAGAGGAGGAGGAGGAGGAGGAGGAGGAGGAGGAGGAGGAGGAGGAGGAGGAGGAGGAGGAGGAGGAGGAGGAGGAGGAGGAGGAGAATCTATGGTCTTGTTGCATTTATTATCCTCAAGGCAGCGCTCCTGCATTACACTCTTTCTTCCTTTCCACACAACAACTCTGTGACGTGTTTTGGATTGAGACTGGCCCCAACTCACCTAGCTGGCTCTCGTGCCTAGGGCGGGACTTGAACTCACAGTCTCCTGGTGATTGGCCCAAAGACAGTTGGCCTTTTTCCCTAAGGAGGAACTAGAACTCACCATCTCCTGGTGATTGGCCCAAAGTCTCTCAGCTGCCTTTCATCCTATAGTGGGACTAGAACCCAGAGTGTCCAGTGATGTTTTGATTGGGGGCCCCCAGAGTTCAACCAAAGACAATCGGCTACGTAAAGGTTTCAGTAAATAAATACATCCTCTTCCTTCTGGTTTCTTTTCATTCCCACTGGGGTTTTCCAGGACGAAGGGCTGAAGAAAGCCTTCATGAGGTCCATCATCATGATCACCAAAGCTGTTGCCAACAGCAGGAGGCAAGACCTCGATTTGCCCCAGAAACAGGAACTGGTCACAAACATCGTTGTAAGTGGGGAGAGGGGGGGAGGCAGGTGCTCCTGGGCGTCTTTCTTTTTGGAAGTGAATTTGAACCGAATTGAATGCCAATCAATGGAGCCTGAAAGGTTTTGTTGCTAAGTGGGACATTTGTTAAGGGAATTCTGCCCATTGTACGACCTGTCTTGCCACCGTTGTTAGCCGAATCATTTTCGTTCAGTTAATCGCACGGCTGTTAAGGGAATCTGGCTTCCCAATTTTATATAGGTCATCAAGAGGCCACAGTTACCCACCCCTGACTTAAATCATGGTCACGGGACACTGCAAACTGCCATCAATGCAAGCTGGTGGCCAAGTGACCGAAATGGGGTCACAGGATCGCTGAGGAAGGGGCGCCTCTCGGAACTTGGCATCTGGGTCATAAGTAGTCCTGAAGAGATCCCTCAAAACTTTAAATGGTGGCTAAGTGACCAGTTGTAAGCTGGGGACTTCCTGTGTCAACCAGAAAAAGCGTAGGGCTGGGAAGAGGGCCAGCTGGAGGGTGGCCATATCTCAGGTTCTTTCTTAGATGGGTTTCCTTCTCTTTTCAGGAAGTCATTGAAGATGAGCCCGCGAGACCCTTGTCCATCGAAAATCTCCATCAAGCGATCATCACCATCACCTGCATGAGGTATGTACCTGCCAAGAGACAGAGAGAGAGAGAGAGAGACAGAGAGAGAGAGAGAGACAGAGGAAGGAGGGAGGGAGAGAGAGAGAAATCCTGCATCCTGTTTTGGTCACCACAATATAAAAAAGATGTTGAGACTCTAGAAAGAGTGCAGGGAAGAGCAACCAGGATGATGAGGGGAGTTCTGATATTTGAGGGGCTCTCAGAGAGAGGAGGGGGTCAACTTCCCCTCCAAAGTAGCTGAGAGCATGATGAGAAGCGATGTAGGGAAGCTTATCAAAGAGAGATCCAGGAGAAATTTCCTGACACCGAGAACAATCCATCAGTGGAACAGTTTGCCTCCAGAAGTTGGGGGTGCTCCATCCCTCGAGGTTTTCAAGAAAAGAGTGGACAACCATATGACTGGGATGGTTTAAGGACCATCAAGCAAGGGTTGGAGTAGAAGACCTCCGAGGTCCCTTTTAGCCTAATGAGTCTATGATCTTCTCACCCTCCTCCTCTTTTCTCGTCTTTCATCAGCCGTATGAAGCCCCCCTTGAACTCCGAGATGAGGTCTAAAGTGGTGAGAAAAAGCATCCAGAAGGTGTTTTCCTTGCCGGCTTACCTGGTGACAAAACTGAACGTGAACGGCCCAGGACAACCAGCTCAAACTCAGGTGAGCAGTCCAGATGGAGCCAAGCCATCTGAGATCCACCTGGAAATAAGCATGATTCAAAATCTCCTCCAAAACTCTGGATCCATCCATCGAGCCCAATGTCCTTTTGTTCCTCGTGTTCAGCCGAGAAAGCATTTCCTCCAACTCTGGAAGAAAAACCAGCCCTGCAAGACGGGCCACTCCGTTGATTGCAGAAGGGTGGACTTCAACTCCCAGAAGTCCGTGGCTGGCTCAGGATTGTTGGGCGTTGCAGTCCACCAGTCGTCCTAAAAGGGCCATAAGTTCCCCAGCCCTGGATTTCTTCCTCTTTCTTCCTTTACACCACTTCTTCCTTTAGATATTCTTTTTCTCCTTCTAGGATTTTTATGACCAGATGGTGACCACCTGCAACACCATGCTCACCGCCTTGCTGTCCGAGGCTCCCAATTTGGATTCCCTGCAGGATGTCTTGACGGTAAAGAGTGATTCTTTCTCGGGGTTGGTCAGCCAGATGTTTAGGCTGGATTTGGCGATTCTGTCCAGCTGTCGAGCCCCTCCCAAGGACCCGGGATAGGCAAATGTGGCTGTTGGGTGGACAACTCGTCCCATGGGACAATTCAACCATTCAATTTAACTCATTTCAATAGTTAAAAAATGATGTTCATTTTTGTCATTTACATTTGTTTTGTCCCTCCTCTGGCATCTTTTCACTAATGATTCTATTCCACTATTTCTCCGATATTCGTGTCTCTCTTGTCCCACGGCAAGGAGGAAGGGAGGGAGGGAGGGAGGAGATGATAATAAGAGTGAGGGAGGGTCTCAGGGAAGTCCACAGGTGCCCCTGACACGAGAGACGTTGAGCTGGCCACTCCCACCTCGGCCACGCCCCCCTCGAGGTCAAACACAACCTTGATTCGGCCCTCCATGAAATCGAGTTTGACACCCCTGTCATAGAGCCTCGCAGCTGTTCCGAGTAAAGCTGCCTTCTGCAATTGACCGATGCAGATTATGTCGATGCCGATGGGATTCATTTTAGCAACAGAAATTTTGGACTCATTGTGGTCATAAGTCGAGGACTACCTGTATTTGTGATGGTTGCAGCATCCTGGGGGGGGGTGTCACCTGAACACCATTGGCGAACTGCCCAACTGGCTTCCGACAAGCCAAAGTCTACGGGGAAAGCGAGATTCGGCTAATGACTGCATTATTCACTTAAGGACCACAGGGATTCGTTCAACCCTGGCAAAAAAAGGTCATAAAGCCAGTCACAAGTCGCCTAACATCCACCTTGGTAAGCACCCCAAATTCTGGTCGTAAGTCAAGGACTACTTATACAGGAAGTCCTCGACATACAGCCATTCATTTAGGGACCGAGCTGGGATGCTGCAGCCGTCATAAAGATGAGTCAGTGTTCAAATTTTGATCATGTGACCATAGGGATGCTGCAATGGTCATAAGTGTGAAGAATGGTCATAAGTCCCTTTTTCAGTGCCATTGTAACTTTGAACAGTGACTAAATACTAATAGCACTTAGACTTACATACCGCTTCACCGTGGTTTACAGCCCTCTCTAAATGAGGACCCAGGTTCTTCTCCTATCTGGGTCCTCATTTGACCGACCTGGTAAGGACGGAAAGCTGAGTCAACCTGGAGCCGATCAGGATGGAACTGCTGAACTTCTGGCAGTTGGCAGAATTAGCCTGCAATACTGCGTTCTAACCACTGTGCCACCACGGCTCTAAATGAACTGTTGTAAGACTAGTTGTATTCCAGAAATCTTCAATTGCTACTCTAGTTTTCAGTCTAAAATAGACCTCAATTGACCAATGTCTCAAATTTGTTGAGCTCCTTAGATTTTCTCCCCAGTCCTGGCAACTTCTGTGGCTCTTCCAACTGTGAATCACAAATTCTTCCTTTCCTCCTCCTCCTTTGTTTTTCCTGGCAGCACATTAATCCCTGGATTGAATCTCCCAAGAGACACGAGAGAGAGAGGGCCATCAAGAGCATCAGACACCTCCTGAAGTTCGTTTCTGAAAACGTCAATTTCGACGTAAGTCACCGTTTGGGATGCGCAGTGAGATGTTTTCAAAGAAAGGAAGAAAAAGAAGAAAGTCCTGCTGCCTTTTGGAAAAAGCATCTTTGGGATGTGACCAGGAGGATATAAGGAGTCCCGCTTGATGAAGGGGTTGGAGGAGAAAACCTCCACAGTCCCTTCCAGCAATTGAGGTTCTGGGATTCTAAGGTTCTATGATTCTGGGATTCAAAGATTCAGAGATTCAGAGATTCAGAGATTCAAAGATTGTATGATTTAGAAATTCAAAGATTCTATGATTCTAAGATTCTATTATTCAAAGATTCTAGGATTCACTGATTTTATGAATCTATGACTATGATTCTAGTCTTCTAAGATTCAAATATTGGATAATTCTAAAATTCTAAGATTTTATGTTTCTAAGATTCTGTGATTCTAGAATTCTAAAAGGTAGGATTCTAGGATTCTGTGGTGCTATGGTTCCTATGCTCTGATTTCAGTTGGCTGAAACCTTCATGAGCCCCCCTTCTCATCTTTCCCCTCCTTTTTGCTTCCTTTCATTAGCCCACAGGTGACTTTTCTTTGCTGGGACAGCTGGTGGCTTTGCTGGGCCTGCACGTTGGCGACACCAGCAAAGAAGTTGGCCAGACGTCCGCAGAGGCCGCCTACCACCTCCACCACCTCATCATGAGCAAAATGGGTGAGAAAGTTGGACTCCAAGGGCTGCCAGGAGCCCAGGGATGCGCACTGCCCAGGAGAGCACTGGGTGGCACAGCTTGTGGCGTGACCAAGACCCCGGTCGTTTGCCTGGGCAGAGATGCCTGGAATTGGCCGTTGGTATTGGCACCTCTCAGGGCCAGGGGTCATTTGAAGACTGAGTTTCTCACGTTAAGTGGATCCGTTAGGCCAGTGGTCGGCAAACTCATTAGTCAACAGAGCCAAATATCAACAGTACAACGATTGAAATTTCTTTGGAGAGCCAAATCGGTTAAACTTAAACTAGATAGGTAGGTACATTGTTATTAACTTAATTAGGGTACTCCTAAACTGGCCTTTGCTAAGAACGTCCTCAATCTGATGGAGGTACGTTCGCTGAGGTCGACCCCTTCCATCTCTCCCATCCACACTCGTCCTGTATACTTCTTTCGTCTATCTCCTTTCGTTCATCCTCTTTATATGTCCAAACCATCTCCTCGACACTACATCTTCTTTCACTCCACAACGTTCCCTAAAATTAACTTAATAAACTTTACTTAAAGTTTTAAGTCTTAGTTAAACTATAGGTACGTTGAATAAAACTTGATCTCATACTTAACAACGATATTATTTATTGATAAAATTAAATTCCTTACAATTGACCTTACAATATCCATAAAATTAAATCATGACAATGACTGACAAACACTAATGTGAACAATGGCCTTGCATCTCCTTGGAAAGTTTGAGTAAGTCAGGTTTGTATGTTGTTTTTAATTTTAGGCACGATTCCAGGTTCTCATCAATAAGACAACTTCTCAATTTACTCTTGATAAGGTTCATGCTTGAAAATGATTGTTCGCATAACTATGTAGACCCGAATAAGGAAAAAACAGCAAACGCTATTTTTTTCAGTTGATGATATGAGTCAGGAATACTATTCCGGGTGTTAAAAATCATCATATCTTCCTTCTCCGGGTCTTTCAAAGCAGACCACTTGTGCTGTGAACTAAGTTCACATTTATTTTTCTCCAATATTTCTGTATCAGCACAAAGACGTTCAAATTTCGAGCTCCACAATTCTTTGTTTTTGAAATCCAGCAATTGCATTTCAAAGTTGCCAATGTCAATATTAAAGGGAGAAACATTTAATTCTGTTACAGTAGCATTAAGAGGCTTTTTAACAAAGGCTAACGTCGCTTTGCTGTTTCTGAATTCCTGAAACCTGTTGAGAAAAGCTTCCCTCATATTTAAAAGTGTTGTTTTGATATTATTTATTGATAAAATTAAATTCCTTACAATTGACCTTACAATATCCATAAAATTAAATCATGACAATGACTGACAAACACTAATGTGAACAATAGCCTTGCATCTCCTTGGAAAGTTTGAGTAAGTCAGGTTTGTATATTGTTTTTAATTTTAGGCATGATTCCAGGTTCTCATCAATAAGACAACTTCTCAATTTACTCTTGATAAGGTTCATGCTTGAAAATGATTGTTCGCATAACTATGTAGACCCGAATAAGGAAAAAAAAAAAAGAAAAAAAAAAAAGAAGACATTTTGACTGTTCTGTCTTTCACTGTTTTAGCAGACAATGGTAACTCTTTAATTTTTTTTAGAATATCGGCTTTGTTCTTAAAATCCCGAAATAGCTCTTCGGATGCATTTATAAAACAACTTTTTATGTATTCGCCGTCTGTATATGGTTTTCCTCTCTTAGCAATCTTTTGACTAACCACAAAACTTGCAATATTAACATTGTTGGAAGATTGAATCCAGTAATTAAATACAGAACTTGATTTTTCTTGACTCTTCTGAAGTTCCTCAACTGCTTTCTTCCTTGCATCACCGACAGGATATTTACTACTAAATGGCACGTGTTTAGTTTTAAAGTGTCTCTCCAAATTTGATTTCTTGTTATGCACCAATTTTTCCTGACAAATAAGACAGGTCGGAAGGCCATTTAAGTTTTGAACAAACGCGAAAGTCTCGGTCCATTCAACTTTAAATTCATGGTTTTCGTCTTCCGTTTTTCTTTGCTTCTTCTTTGTAGCCATGTCAAACAGGGCACCTAAAAAAATGTTTCATTTTATAATAATAAAGCCACCAACACAAAATAATTACAATTCTTAAATTGATGACAAAAATACCTGTAGGATTTGCAGCTGGTTGGAAAAATACAGGTAACTTTATGCTCCGAGTAGTTACTTTTGTCACCCGCGCGTGATTGGCGGATGCGACTAGCACTAACCACTGCACAAGGAGATTGCTGACTGACTGGCTCACTCAACTCGTGCATGAATCGCGTGCGCCTCTCCCACGCTGCGTATCCCATGGCCCACCTGCGCCGCGTCTCCCGTCTCCCGTCTCTCGCCCGCAAGACACCCCCACTTCTTCTAACGCCACTTCTTCAGAATAGACTCGCCCAGGCCGAAAACCGACTTCTGCGCATGGGCCACGAAGTTTCAATCGCACTGTGCGTGCGCGCCCGCAGGTGGTATTTTGTGGAAGAGCCACACTCAAGGGGCCAAAGAGCCGCATGTGGCTCGCGAGCTGCAGTTTGCCGACCACAGAGTTAGGCTAGGCATCTGCCATCAGCCAGCCTGGGCTTGTGAGTCTTGGCACATGGATTGGGTCTTAGCGTGTTTTGCAAAGCCAACTTTTAGTCATTGGATGGCTGCATGTATTGCAGGAAGCCAGAAAACGGGTTAACCAAGTTACGGGTTGAGTGGGCATTGTTAAGGAAAGAGCTAAAGAGGGTTTATAATTGCAATACATTATTTGTTAATTTTATAGTTTCAACCCCATTTTACGTGTCTTCTAATTTTTAATTGGGAGCCGTCCACAATCGGTTGAAAGACAGGCACTTATATCAATGGTTTACCTAAAGAAAAGGATCGGTTAAATTTGGCTAGTTAAAAGCTTAACCCAGTGGCAACTTTAAGCCATGTGGATTTCAATGCCCAGAATTCCCCAGGCAGCACACAATCAATTCACAACCTAATGCTTCATTTGCACATCAGACCAAGGTAGTCTGGGTTAAATCCGGTTAGATTCATTCATTCGTTTGTTCATTCGTTTGTTGGTTCATTCCTTCATTCCTTCATTTATGTAATTTGTCTCTTATGTAGCCCTATATTTCCCCTCCATTTACAGTCCCATCTATTGTGTTAACCTAGAAAAGGGGTTACAGGTAGTCCTTGACTTACAACAATTCATTTAGTGACCATTCAAAGTTTAACCGGCACTGAAAAAAAGTGACTTGTGATTGTCTTTCACACTTACGACCGTTGCAGCATCCCCATGCTCACGGGATCAAAATCTGGACACTTGGCCACTGACTCCGATTTATGACGGTCGCAGTGTCCCAGGGTCATGTGATCCCTTTTGTGACCTTCTGCCAAACAAAGTCAATGGGGAAGACGGATTCACTTAACAACCGGGTTGCTAACTTAACTGCTGCGGCAATTCACTTAACCAGGTTGGCAAGAAAAAAAATCGCAACCTGAGGCAAAACTCGCTTCATAACTGTCTTGCTTAGGACTCAATTGTGGCCGTAAGTCGAGGACTGCCTGTAATTGGACCACTAAAGAGGTCATTGTACCTGTTTCGTTCCTGATCAGTGAGATAAGAGAAAGGGGGGGCAGAGAAAGAGGGAGCGAGGGGGGAGGAGGAGGACTGGTGTCTCTGAGCTTTGTTGTTTTCTTGTGAAGGTTTCATGACCCAACTAGGTAACGAGAAAACCACCGAGCCCAGAGAGCACCAGGGACCCCTCAGGTCAGCCCTGAGCTACAGATCTTCTCTTCTGTTGGAACGACTAAACCGGCCGTCAGACGAAGGATGTTCAGAAGTTCCGAATGCCAAAATCTGACCTTCTCTTGTTTTCCTCCCTCCAAAGCCAAAGAAATGGATGAGAAACCTAGAAACAAGAAGGGGAAGGTCGTCACTTGGCTGAGGGAAGACTTCTCCTTTTCGGGCCCAACAATATTTTATAATAACGTCTCCAAAATGGCTACGGTACGTTTTCGTTCAGCATTTTGCCTGGCTTCTTATTGACCTTCCTTTTTCTCCTCCTCTTGACCTGGAGATACTCAAAAAAGTCAATATCACAGTGGGGACGGCAGGCTCCAAAGGCCGGAGGGTGGATATCCATCCCCCACAATGTCTAGGAGCAGGCGATCTCGGCTGCCATGTTGGCTTCTTTCACCCACATCCTAATATCACGTGGTGGATGTCATGGAATACGGCCTGCCTCTCTACATGGGGTGCTGTCCCCAGATACGGGTCAAAGTCTCTGGCTTGTCAAAACCCTGATGCATCTCTTCATGGTCTCCTTTTCTTCTTTCCGATAGGCCTTTGGCGAGCATCTGAGCCCGTCTCAAATAAACGACCTGATCTTAAAAGCCCTGGCAGCTCTGACACACCTGGACAAAAACATTTCACACACTGCGGGACTCCTGCTCAATTCGTTCTTGGAAGAATGTGGGATGGACATGGAGGAGGTAAGAAAATGGCAGGGTTTGGAGCAAAAGGGATAGAGGAGATTTTGTAGAAAAGAAAGATGAGAATGGGTGAGACCTTGTTGACTTGGTGACAACACTTCAGCTGGATTTAAGAAGGCTAGGGTTGGATGGAGACCACCAGGTAATCTTAGGGCTGTTGAGAAAGTTGGTCATCCCTTGGATTTCTCTTTTGCCATAGCTGCCCATGATCCTCAAGGAGATCTACCGACGTCTCCCGAAGATCTTGGACCCTGCCACCAAACAACAAACGCTAAAGGCAGTGTGTCACCTGGCGTCCAAACGGGTGAACAAAGTCGTGGATATTCTCCTCGAGTGCTCGGTGGCGTGCGATGGGTAAGAAGAACCTCAAGGAGATGTGCCTCCTGTTTTCTTGTACTCTACAGAGATTCTCAACCATTTGCGATAGGGGTGAATATCTGTAGCTTGGGGTGGGCAGGTCATGTGCTGATTGGGGGGGAGGTTGCATTGGGTTGGTTGAGGGCCAGTGCAGTCGCTGGTTGGCTGTGCAGTCGATCTGAATTCTGAGAGCTTCCTAGGCTGGTTGTCTCCACCATCCAGGTCATGATTGTCCCAAAGGTGCTTTTCCAAAAGGCAGCTGGACCTCCTTGGTTTTTTAACTTTCTTGGTCGCCACACTGTAGAAACAATGCAGAGACTCTGAAAGAGTGCAGAGAAGAGCAACGAAGATGATTAGTGAACCGGAGCCTAAAACATATGAAGAAGAGTTGCAGGAATTGGGTCTCTCTAGTTCGATGAAAGGAAGGATTGAGGGGGGACAGGATAGCAGTGTTCTGATATCTGAGGGGCTGCCACAAAGAGGAGGGGGTCAACCTATTTTCCAAACCACCTGAGGGCAGGACAAGAAGCAAAGGATGGAGACGAATCAAAGAGAGAAGCAACCTACAATGTGCAGAACTTTCCTAGCAGTGCAAACAATTAACCAGTGGAACAACTTGCCTCCAGAAGTTGTGGGTGCACCATCACTGGAGGTTTTCAAGAAGAGATTGGACAGCCATTTGTCTGAAATGGGATAAGATTTCCTGCCTGAGAAGCGGTTTGGAGTACAAGACCTCCAAGGCAGGGGTGAAATCCTCTGGTTTGGTCTGGTTCGCCCGAACCGGTAGTAAGAAAAAACGCTTTAAAACGTACGACAATCAGCTGTGCCGGGCAATGTCGGAACCTTTTTGTAATTTCTAATTTCAGCATTTTTTTACTACCAGTCAGCTGTGAGAAAATCAGCTGTGCCTGATTGTCTGTGAGGTTCCTGTTTGTTGCAGGGGCCATTTTGTGTAAAGTCCAGCTGCTTCTGCATTGTATGTGAGTCAGTTGTGTAGCTTTTGTGTTACTTTTGTGTAAAGTGTGATCGTTTGCTTTTGAGCTCTCTGTGATTCAGTGAGGTTCTGCATTGTGTGTGAATCAGTTGTGCAGCCACGCCCACCCGGACACATAACCACCAAGCCACGGCCGCCTGGTCATATGACCACCAAGAAACGGCCACCCGGTCACATGCCCACCAACCAACGCCCACAGAACCGGTTGGGAACATTTTTGAATTTCACCACTGCTCCAAGGTCCCTTCCAACTCGGTCCTTCTGTGAAAAGCACCTTTGGGTTAATTCTGTAGACACACTGCTCCTAGAAACCTCCCCCCCCTTGACCAGTTCTGGGTTCTCTGGCACTTCCGGTGGCGCAGAGGCCCTCCTTTGAATGGCTACTAGACAAACGGTTGCAAGTCGAGAACTACCTGTAGCTATATTTTTTTCCATGCCTTAAAGCAGTTCATTTGGCCATCGGTTCTCTAACCCTTTCTTCCGTTGGGGGGGTTAATCTATCTGGAATGGCCGTCTCTTTGAAAATGGGGAAAGAATCTGATTTTTTTCCCCAATCCATTTTTCCACCTGCACAGAAGTGCCAGGGAACTGTGGAGGGCGCTGGCTGCAGACCCCTATGCTAACCTGAAGATCATGAAGCCCCTCCTCAAAAGGCTTGATGACCACGATCCCAGCACCGAAGCTATTGGGAGGGGAACAAGCAAATCCATCATGCCCATTGCGGTAAGCCCTCAACCGGTGGCTCTCCTTTCCTGAGATCTGCAGGTGGGCCAGGCCTGAGGAAAGGGGGAAGGGGCTGAGCAGAAGAGTCACCCTCGGGGGTCTCCTCATCAGGAGCAGGCACGCCCTGGCTGGAGGGAGGCAGAGGGCAAACTGGTGGGGGCTGAAATCGGAGCAAAATTTGACGTAAGCCCCCCTTCCCCCCAAAGTGCCCCATTGAAAGTAGAGGCATCTGTGGGCTTCCTCACCAGAACAGCTTTGATATTCATCCATCCATCCATTCATCCACCCATTCATCCAGCCAGCCAGCCAGCCAGCTCTATCATCTATCCACCCATCCATCCATCGGTTCATCTATTCATTAATCCATTCATTCATGTATCCGTTCATTGATTTATTCGTTTATTCATACATTCCTTCATTTATTCATTCCTTTACTCATCCAATCATTCATAATTCAATTGATTCCTTTATTCATTTCTTACGTTATTTCTTACAGAAATAACTAAAAAAGAGTTTGATTTAAGAAAATACATGATAGGAACCAACAAAGGCAAACACCCAACGGAGTACTTTGTGTCATATCTTATTTTAAATATTCTTAATCTGTATTTTTATTATGTGTTATATTGTTTTATTACGTTGTTGTAAACTTCCCAGTGTCAGATTGCTCAGATGGCCGGTGGAGAAATTTAATTAATTAAGACCAATAGATTTGTAGTCCAGGTTTGAACTGTGGGGTCCTTGGTGCTTACTGAGCTTGGTGGTTTTCTTGCAGATGTTTCCCGACCCAACCAGTCTAACCCTACCTCTAAGCCTAACTCTTCCAGCACTGATGATGTTACCTAGCTGGGTCATGAAACATCTGCAACCAAAAAACACATGCTCAGACAGCACCCAGGGCCCCTCCAAGGACCCCTAAGAGGTGGAGAGTCAAGAGCCCACTTAGGAATGAAGACAAACAGAGAAACGTGAGGTTACCGATCTCTTTGTCCCCAGTTCTGTCTCACTTGTGCTACTCGTTGTCTCCCTTTTGTCCTGTATCTACACCCCACTGGCCTCTCAAAGTCTGGAGGGGGTGTAGAATGGGAGTTTCAGAAGTCCCACTTCTAGCAACCTTTTGCTCCGTGTCTCAGACATGGACATTCCTGGCTCAGCTTTCATGGACATGAGGATTTTTTTCTTTCTCTGGGCACAATGAGAATGTATCTGCCGAACAAAACTCTGCATTGGCGACAAGAAGGGCATCCAGCCAGGAAAGCCTCAGCTCCATTCAGTTGCCCAGACTCCACCCCGCAAGGGATTAGGGGGTCGTTAAAAGAAGAAATAGATGATGATGAGGAATCTAAGTAACCTGATGAGCCCGAGCTGACTCTCCTCTCCTCCTGTTTCTAGGCCACCAATGCGCTCTCCTTCCTCCTCTCGCTTCCTGAGGCAGCAACCATTGTCCAGCATAAGTTCTCCAGCCTGCTCCTGGCGCTCGTGACGCACATCTATTTTCTGCTGGGAGCAGGCAAGAGCGGGTCAGAACAGACCTACCATCTGGGGTAAGGAATCTCCTGGGCCCAATCTGGATCCTTTCTCCATTTCTGCAAAGCTCAGGAAACAGTCGTTAAGTGAACTTTGTCCCATTTTGCAACCTTTCTTGCCAGAGTGGTTAAGTGAATCATTGCACTCGTTAAGTCCCATGGTCGTTAAGTGAATCTGGCTTCCCCGTTGACTTTGCTTGTCAGAAGGTCCCAAAAGGGGATCGCGTGACTCTGAGACACTGCGACCGTCATAAATATGGGTCAGTTGCCGAGAGTCTGAATTCTGACCACATGACCATAGGGATACTGTAACGGTCGGAAGTGCAGGGGGATCAGCTGAATGATTGGCACCAACTCTTCTGCCTTTGTTTCATTTAGCAACGCAGTCAAAGCCGTCAAACACCTCATCTTGCGCACCGGCTATCAGGAGGAGTTCAAGGACTTAGATATGGTTCAATGTTGGGCGATGCTGATGAGTCCTGAAAGTGTGTTTGAAGGCATTTTCCACCTGGTCCGGTAAGAAATTAAAAGTCAAAAGAGCTTGGCTACGAGGGGCAGTGGGTGAGAGAGGGAGGGGAGGCAGAGGGAGAGGAGGAAGAAGAGGAGGCAGAGAGATAGGGGGAAGGGGAGAGAGAGGGAAGGGGAGAGGGAGAGGGGAGAGGGGAGAGGGAGAGAAAGAGGGAGAGAGACACACTGAAGGCAAAAGTGAGAGAGAGGAAAGATTAGAGGGGAGGAGAGGGAGGGGAGAGGGAGAGGTAGAAAGAGAGAGGGAGGGTGAGAGAGAGAGGAAGGGGAGAGGGAGAGAGGGAGGGTGAGAAATTCTCTAAATGGAGTAATTCATTGAGTAATTCATTTATCGATCATTCAGCTCATGATTTCTCTAGCTTGGTGATTTTCTTCTCCCTAACCAGCAGATCTTGTCTGACCTCTCCATATTTATTCTCTTAGGATCTTGTTCAACTACTCGAAACATGAGCTGAAGGTCATGCTCCGACAGGCTGAGACCTACGTGCGCCACCCCGATTTAAGACACAAAACCATTGGGATGGTTTTCTTTTCGGAGGTGAGGAGACCTTGAGATGCACCCCAACCTTCTGGAGCTCAAGGAAAGTTGCCCAGGGTTCAACAGAACTTTATGGTTAGAAACTAGAAGTTGTGGGTTCTCCATCACTGGAGGTCTTGAAGAAGAAACTAGACAGCCATTTGTCTGACATGGTAGAGGTCTCCTGCTTCACCAGGGGGTTGGGCTAGAAGACCTCCAAGGTCTCCTGGTATTCTGTTAATCAGTGGAATGGCTTGCCTCCAGAAGTTGTGGGAGGGAGGGAGGGAGGGAGGGAGGGAGGGAGGGAGGGAGGGAGGGAGGAAGGAAGGAAGGAAGGAAGGAAGGAAGGAAGGAAGGAAGGAAGGAAGGAAGGAAGGAGATTGAGGGAGGGAGGATGGGAGAAAGGGAGGAAGGAAGACTCAATGACCCCAAATTCCTTTTACTTTTTGCATTATTTTTTGTATTCTTGCAACTATCATTTACACTACCTATCAGACAGTCACAAAAGGGATGACGTAAGCTCGAAACACTGCGACCGTCATATATATATATATTTATATGCCGCCATTCTCCCGAGGGACTGAGGGCGGCTTACAAAAACAATATCCAATACAAATCACAATAAATTAAAATCAACAACCCAATTAAAACAATTTAAAATTATAACAATGTACACCCATAACGGATCAGTTAAGTTGACGAAAGGGCCACATCTTCAACTCAAATATGGACCGGCAAGTACCCAAATTTTGATCACATGACCATGAGGATGCTACCATGGTCATAATTCTGAAAAATGGACGTATCTCTTTTGTCAATGCCGTTGTGACTTTCAGCGGTCACTAACCGAGGACTGTGTTTATTTTCTTTTTCTCTCCCCGTAATGGCTGAAAGTGGCATCTTTAGTCGAGGCTCTCAGGGAAGTTCTCTTCCTTGGCTTGGCTAACGCTCCATATCTCCACTCTTCTTCTTCAGCTGCTGTTTCACCCAGAAATTTGCCAATTCTTTGTCATCCAAGACATCCTCCAGGTGCTGAAGGAATGGATGACCCAGCCATATCCGCTGATACAGACTTTCAGCGTTAGAGGACTGGGGAACCTCATCCAACACCCGTTTGAGGTAAGAGATGGGGGGCAGGAAGGGAGTGGCTTCCAAGGTAGTAGCAGGTGTGACCTCGCTCTCTGGGAAGTCTACAAGGCTGGGAAGGAGAGAAGAAGGAGAAGAAGAAGGCAACCAGCAGAAAGAGGACAGCTAGAGGGGTGTCTCTTCTACAAAGATGGCTGCAACCCTGGAAGATCTGAAGGTGCAAGTAGAGGCCAGATCCTCTTGGAGGACATTTGTCTGAAATGGTATAGGGGTTCTGGCTTGAGCAGGGGTTGGACTAGAAGCCCTCCAAGGTCCCTTCCATCTCTGGTATTCTGTTAAGGACCAGGGGAGACCTGAGAGCAGTCTTCCAGTATTTGAAGGGCTGCCCCAAAGAAGAGGGGGTCAACCTATTCTCCAAAGCCCCTGAAAGCAGAATGAGAAGCAGCGGATGGGAACTAATGAAGGAGAGAAACAACCTGGAACAAAGGAGAAATTTCCTGACCCTGAGAACAATTCATCCTTGGAACGACTTCCCTCCAGAAGTTATGGGTGCTCCATCACTGGAGCTTTTCAAGAAGAGTTTAGATAACCATTTGTCCAGCAGAGTCTAGGGTCTCCTGCTTGAGCAGGGGGTTGGACTAGAAGACCTCCAAGTTCCTTTTCAACCCTCTTCTTCTATGCTCTGTGGCCTTCTCTTGCGTTTGTCATGATCGCTGTGAGACTCAGAGAACTCCAGTGACCGTTTAATTGCTCGTTTCTTTCCCTGCTTCCTCCAGAAGAACATCTTGGAACCCCTCTTGATGCCAGTGCTAAACTGCGCTTGTCACGAACAGAAGACGGTGGCAAAAGAAGCTATAAGGACCCTGCATTTCCTCCTCAGGAACCTCGATATCAAAACCCATGCGGTGAAGGCAGTCAACCTCATTCCGCTCCTTCTGAAACATTTTCATGATGTAAGTCAACCAAATCATAACAAACTGGTTTTCCACCTCTCCCTCCCTCCCCCCCTCCCTCCCTCCCTCCTCCCTCTCCCCCTCTTCCCCCCCTCTCTCCCTCTCTTTCTCCCCCTCCTCACTCCCTTCCTCCCTCTCTCTCTCTCTCTTTCTCTCTCTCTCTCTCTCCCTCCTTCCTCCCTCCTTCCCTCCCTCCCTCCTACACTCCCTTTCATTCGCCCTCTCCCTCTATCTCTCTCTTTCTCCCATAAAGATGGGAGAAAGACCAGAAGGAGCTGCTAAGATTGAACAACTCTGGTCTAGATCAGGATTTCTCAACCTTGGCAACTTTAAGAGGTGAGGACTTCAACTCCCAGAACTCTCCAGCCAGCATACTGGAGTTGGGGTCCCCATCTTTGGGGCAACCATGACCTGGATGATTGACCATCTCCATGGACATTGAACTGGGAATAGGTGTGCTCTGAACTTGTGTGTTCTCCTGCAAACTTCAAGAAACTTCTGCATGGCTATTCTGCTATTGGAGGGACTAACCTGTCTCTCTTCCTTCGTAGGACGACATCGAACTGAGGAATACCTCCATCACCATTTTTGGCATGCTCCTGAAAGGACTGAAGGAGTTACGGAACAGTAATATGGCCGAAAACATCCTGAACAGCCTTATTCCCCTCCTCATACAACTGTCAAATGATCGGACAAAAGAGGTGAGTTGAAGGGCTGGCTAAGCTGAGCTCCTGCTCTGATCATGCTACCTTCACAGAGACCACTCTGTACCCCCATCTTCACTCAGAGCAACGTGGTTGTACCACGTGGACACTCTGGAGAATGCAAAGACATTGTAGACAATCCTGAAGTTGTGGGGTCCTTGGTGCTCCCTGAACTTGGTTGTTTCCTTGAAGACCTTTCCTGACCCAACTAGGTGACAGGATCTCCCTCTTTCCTCCCTCGGCCAGGTCTCCAGGAAGACCCTCGACTCCTGCGTGTCCTTTATGAACTGGGGGGGCTTTCCCAGCAACTTGTTTGACTATGAAATGTACACCAGTCTTCATAGCATGTACTCCAACATCTGCTACGTGGTTGTAAGTAGGAGCCAAGCTGGCCTGTTTTCTTCCAGATTAGAGTAAACTAACCGTTTATTTCTTTATTTTGTCCTGCCTTTCTTATTTTGATAAATAGTTCAAGACGGTGGGCATCCCTAATACTTCTTCTTTTCTTCACAACAACCCTGTGAGGTGGGTTGCCCTGAGAGAGAGGGACTGCACCAAAGTCACCCAGCTGGCCATCGTGACTAAGGAGGGACTAGAACTCCCAAAGTCACCCAGCTGGCTTTGACCAAGAAAGCAGCCCCTTGGTTAAAAAAAAAAAAAAAAAGCTCTATAGTTCATTGGCTTCTTTGTTGCCTTGTTTTCCCCAGATGAATAAATGCAAGCAAAACCTTCCTGCGATGTTGGATCAGATGCTGGGATTCCTGAGGAGCCGGAACTCTTCCCATCGCGAGGCAGCTGCCCTCTTAATTGGTAATCACCAATGCCAACTCTGGAAGGAGGGCAGGAAAACCCAAGACAGGCGGGCGGCCTTGTCACCAAAAGAATCTATGCAGAATTAAGCCATGTCGCTTAATCAGACTGGAAGCTGCTCTTATACCGTGTGGCTTCTCCGGAACGGCTACGATCGCGCAACAGTTTCTCAGGCAGTTCCTGCCCTCTTTCTTAAGGGTATCGCTGCCGTTGTTAAGTTAGCCACATGGTTGTTAAGTGAATCTGGCTTCCTCCCGGATTTGGCTCATCCGAAGATCGCAAAAAGTGATCTTTGACCCCCAAGACACTGTAAGCGTCATAAATACGAGTCGGTTTGCCAAGCATCCGGATTTTGATCTTGATGTGGCATCGCTTCTAAGGGTGAAAAGCAGTCGTAAGTTCCTTTTTTCAGTGCCATTGTAACTTTGAATGGTCACTAAATGAACTGTTAGAAGTTGAGGACTACCTGGCCTGTATCCCTCTCTCTTGTATAGGCAAACCCACAGCCGTGGCTTTTTCTCTGGAAATATTTCCAGCTGGCCTCCCATTCTAGTATTAACTGGATTCAAGGCTGCTTAGATTTTTTTCCAAGATGATGGTTGTTTGCACAGTCCTAGAACATAAAGTAATAGAGTTGGAAGGGACCTTAGAGGTCTTCTAGTCCAACCCCCTGCTAAAGCAGGAGACCCGATTCCATTTCAGACCAGTGGCTGTCCAATCTCTTCTTTAATCTCTTCTTGAAAGCCTCCAGTGAGGCCTGGAGACAAAAACAGAGGAAGAACGGCTACCCCTCGTCCTTCTTATTATTAGACAGACCCAATCCCTGGAACCATCCCGTAAAGTCCCAAAGCGACTCTTCCAAGTGGAAACCAATGAATTGCGCGTTTTTTTTCCTGAATCAGTCGATTTAGCCGTCTCTGTTAACCCCACCAACGTTTTCTTTTTACGTGCCCAGGCTGCTGCGCGCAATACATGCAACCGGAAGTGATGACTTCAAAACAAATGAAAGAAGTTTTCCTGGGTGAGTTTCAAAGTTCCCTCGCTTGAAACAAGGAGTTTTTCTCCAGAAGCTCTGTCGCTGATCAGGGCTGGTTCTCACGGTTGATCCCGGAAATCCTTTGTTTTCTGGATTCGTTTCAGGTCTCCAGGATCTGCAAGGCGATTCCGAAGCCTCAGTGGCTCAGGCTGCAGCTGACTCAATGCAAGAAATCTTTCGGCAGTGTGGCCATCTGATCAAGCCGGGTCTTGTTAGTAGTCAACTCCTCTCCAAAGGCATCAGGAGGATCTCCGAGACCAAGCAATAATAGTTTCATAGTTTCATAGTTTCCATTATTGTCATGGCACCTCATAGAATGAAATTAAGTGCCATCCTCACTGTATATTATACTTTTTAAAAACCCTATAAAAATAAAACAAAAACACACCTCCTTCACATTGTATGCAATTGAATTAAAAAACCCTCGTATTGTATTAATATTGCACTGTACGTAGAATTGTATAGTTACTGCTCTGGGATAGAAGCTGTTTTTCAGCCTATTTGTCCTTGTTTTTATTGTCCTGTACCGTCTGCCAGATGGTAATAGTTCAAAAAGAGGGGGGCCCAGGGTGAAATGGATCCTTAAGGATGCTTTGAACTTTCTAAAGCCAGCGGGAGCTATAAAGCTCTTCCAAAGTGGGGAAGGGGCAACCCATGACCCTCTGGGCACCTGCCTTCCAGCTGGTCTTTGGGGAAAGCGAGGAAGCGTGAAGATAATTCTTACATCGCGAAGGACCACGAAGGAACGTCGCAGAAAGAAGACCTGGCAGGGAGATTGTGGAAACAGGCCCTGGAGACAGACAGAACAATTAAATGTCAGAGAGAGGAGAAGGTTCCACGAGAAGGTCACAGAGCCACAGGTGCTATTGGAGAAGGGTGGTAGCAACCATCAACCATCGATGATATCTGGAACATCTCCACTCTTGCTCGTCTTCCAACAGAAATAGGAACGCCTAGAGTAGGGCAGATGCAGAGAGCTGAACACTCCGTGGGGGGAGATCTAATGTCCTCCAAAAAGATGCTCATTATTATCCACATAGATGGAGCATTGAATAAAACCCTTCGGGAAAACCTCTGGATCCCAAAGGCGTCTTCCCATGGGCCCTGATCTCCTTTGGAAAGCATGTGACGTTTCTCAACTTAGTTTGTTAAGCCAGAAGGTGGCCGAGCACTGGTCCCCTCCTCGTATCTGTTCCTGGCAGTCCTTTCAACTTTCAGCCCTGAATGAGCCCAGCCTCATAGGTTGTAACTTTGTCTTCTTAAAAGCCTCAACTGATGAAGCACCCACAACTTCTGGTGGCAGGCTGTTCCACTGGTTAATTGTCTTCTTTCTTAGGAAGTTTCTCCTTAATTCCAGGTTGCTTCTCTCCTTGATGAGTTTCCGTGGTTTCTTCTCCTGCCTTCTGGTGCTTTGGAGAATAATTGGACCCCGTCTTCTTTGGGGTAGCCCCTCAAATACTGCGAAACTGCTATCATGTCGCCCCTAATTCTTCTTTTCTTTAGAAAAGAATAGCGTCTAATTATGGTAGATGCCCCAAAGTGGAGAAAGGCAGACCAAAAAGGCATAGAAATATCAGGACAGGGAGTTCTCAACTTATAACCGGTCATTTAGTGTCCGTTCGAAGCTACAATAGCACTGAAGAAAGTGTTTTACGTCCCTTTTTCACACTGATGACCGTTGAAACATGGTTGGTCCTCAACTTACGACCACAATTGAGCCCAAAGTTTCTGTTGCTAAGTGAGACATCTTTAAGTGAGTTTTGTCCCATTTTACGAACCATTCTTGCCACCATTGTTAGGTGAATCTCTGCAGTTGTTAAATCAGCAACAAGGTTGTTAAGTGAATTGGCTTTGCTGGTCAGACGGTCGCAAAAGGGGATCACGTGACCCCGGGACACTGCAACCGTCGTAAATGTGAATCAGTGGCCTAGTGTCTGGATCTGGATTGTGTGACCCTGGGAAATGCTGTGGAAAACAGCCCTAAGTCACTTTTTCCGTGCCGTTGTAACTTTGAATGGTCACTAAATGAACTGTTGTAAATCAAGGACTACCTTACCCCAAGGTTTTCCTTTCTTTTCGTTCTCCACTTTCCGTTTCCTTTCTTTTCGTTCTCCACTTTCCGTTTCCTTTCCTTTCGTTCTCCACTTTCCGTTTCCTTTCCTTTCGTTCTCCACTTTCCGTTTCCTTTCTTTTCGTTCTCCACTTTCCGTTTCCTTTCCTTTCGTTCTCCACTTTCCGTTTCCTTTCTTTTCGTTCTCCACTTTCCGTTTCCTTTCCTTTCGTTCTCCACTTTCCGTTTCCTTTCCTTTCGTTCTCCACTTTCCGTTTCCTTTCTTTTCGTTCTCCACTTTCCGTTTCCTTTCTTTTCGTTCTCCACTTTCCGTTTCCTTTCTTTTCGTTCTCCACTTTCCGTTTCCTTTCTTTTCGTTCTCCACTTTCTGCCAAGTCTTTCCAAATTCTTCCAGCAGATGGTGGCATAATCTTACGAGTCTTTCCTCAGCCAAGTTCTGTAAAAAAATAATAATCAGAATTTGATTTTGGAATGTTGGAATTTCCCGATATATACAGCATACCTTGTTTGAACTTTCTGAACATGTCCCGGTCAATTTCTCAACATGATGAGATGGAGGAATAAGACTGAAGAAGAAGATTCGCAAAAAAGTCAGGAAAAAATCGAGATGGAAAAATTACAATCTTTTTGCCTGGGGAGGATAGTAGTAGTGAAAATGAATGACTAGACTTTTATTTAGGGACATGATTTGTTTTGAAAAGTTATATTAAGTAATCTTACGTTTGAATTGTTATGGGCTACTGACCAAACTGTCACTTTTGTCCTGAAGTATATTAACACTAAAGTTAATTTTAAGGAATGCTTTGCTGAAAATTTGTATAAGCTTATAAAGAATGTTTTGTTGAAGAATAAATATAAACTTGTGGGGTATAAGGAAAATATAAGTGGTGCAAGGGTTGAGGGAAGGTCTTTTACAATATTTTTTATAGATATCAAATAGTGAATGTCAGATGTAAATGCCTTATTCCCTAATGTGTAAATAATGTATATATGGGATATCAGGGGTTAACTTATTCTTTGTCTCTTAATGTATTCATAATTCACCACTCCCACTCTTGGCTCCACCCTTTGTATATATAAGGAGCCACCTTCACCATTTTCTTTGCTTCTATCTGTGAATATTCAGTGAATATAGAATGCCAATTATAATTAAAGAGAAATATATTTAAACCTCTAACTCTTATTATTATTATTGAGTCTGATCCTGAAAATATTGCAACAAGCTGGTAGCAGAGGATGGTTAATTGACTCAATAAATACCTAAAAATGTCTAAGAAAGATAGGCCCAACACCAGGGCCTACAGCAAAGAAATAGGAACTGAACAAGAAATAATCAACGAATCCACAAACGCGATTTCGAGAGAATCCGAAGAATACACCACTGAAGAAGAAGAATTAATAAATGAAAATGATGGCCAGGAGGAAATCGAAATAGAAAATAACGAACTCAGGTCAGAGATATTGAAGTTATTAAAAAGCCAGAAGAATGATGAAAGCCTCATCGCGAACCTCCAAGAAATACTGAAGAACAGCGGAGCAGCGAGAGAGAAAAACATCGCTAGAGAGAAACCCAAAGACCAAAAAACTGTGAGTGATATGACTACAGAGAAAGTCGTTATGAAAAAGAAAAAATGTGATCCCGCGCGAAATTTTGAATGGCAGCCATCTTGGTTTCAACAAGCCTCCAAAGTGAGCGAAGCAGAGCCAATCAAAATGCTCAGTTCAAAATTTCTGGCGCGAAAAACGTTATCAGACAACGAAAGTGAAAAGGAGGATTCAAACTCTTCGGAAGAGCCAGAATCAGAAAGTGAAGACAACTTAACGAAATCCCAAGTAAAGTCAGCAATGAAGACGCTTTTTGCTGCATTTGGGCCAAAATTAAAAATTTCCAAAGCTTCCAACGAAGAAGCAAGCGAACAAGCCGATACTTCAAGACCTGCACGCTCCCATCCTGACTTCGAGAGCGACGACGCCCGAGCCCAGAGAGCCATGTCGATTCCGCCCTACACCGCAGACCGAAGCAAGTGCCAACGCACCCAAAAGAAAGAGAAGAACAGTCGCCGCCATCAGAACTCCTAAGACCGAGCCAGAGACCGACTCGTCTGAAGAGGAGCGGAGCGAGCGAGCTACAATGGAGAGAACCTTCCACGACGACGCCAAAGAAGAAATGAACAACGCGCATGTGCGAAACTACGTAGACGGTCCGGAAAGACTTGAACTGGCCAGAGAACCGCGCAGACTCGTTGCGAGCATCCCCATGCCGTTTTGCAATTTCCTACATTTGCGAGACCACGGACTACCTCAGGTTGTAAGTAATGGACAAAATAATGTGGGAAACTTACCCAGTGACTTCCCAAAACTTAGGGTTGATGGCATTAATTTGCAAGAATGGTATCAACAGCTCCAGGTTGTCTTTATGAAAGAAAATTTACTATTTTTTATCACTAGTCCCCCAAGAAGACCTTGGACTTTAAAAATAGATTGTTTACACCATAAGGCATTTTTCTTAATAATATCTAGCGTGTCTCCTGCAATGTATCATAGCATCAAACCAAATCTAACTGTTTCAGAAATAATTCAATGCATGTTTAATTTGTTTCACAGCGATAGTGTAGCTACCACCACAAGAATGTCTAAGGACTTCTTTTCTTCCAGAGTAAAACCAGGGGTTTCCATAAGTGAGCATTTAATATCTTTAAACAAAATAAGAGCTGAGCTGCATTTGAGGGGGGAAGTGATTTCAGATCAAACAATGAAAAGTGTTATTATCAATTCACTTGATTCATCATGGGATAGTTTTATGTCACACTTAGACACCATCAATCTAGGATATTTATCAATAGAAAGTCTGTCTAACAAATTGATAGCAGAAGACAATTCAAGAAAAAATCGTTATAGCAATCACACAGAACACAAATCTTTTAGGAAGGTAGCTTTCCAAGAAAAATATAATGAAACTTTTAAATGCCACAATTGTGGGTCCAGGGAACACAATAGAAGAGATTGTCCCAAAATTTCAAAGGAAAGACATAGGTCAGAATATAGGAATAAATACAATTATAGACAGTCTTCCACAGATAGACATAAATATAGAAGCCCACCAAATTACAGAGAAAGTAGAGGGGGCAGAGAAAATTCAAAAGAGAGAAAATCTGGTTCACTGAATGGACTAAATAAACAAGACAGCACTAAAACGCAACAAAATGAGAACAATAATTGGCTTATTGATTCTGGGGCAACTAATCACACCACTAATAACAAAAATATATTATCTTCATTTACAGAAGATAAGTTTGTAATAAAGGTAGCTAATCAAGAAAAAGTT